GAGAGAGAGAGAGAGAGAGAGAGAGAGAGAGAGAGAGAGAGAGAGAGGAAGATGAGCTATCCTACTTTTTTTTGGGGCATAAAACTTGTCCATCTACAGTCGACCGAACTGCTCTGTGACCCACTACTCTACTGAACACGCACACACCTGCACACACCCGCACACACACACACACACACACACACACACACACACACACACACACACACACACACACACACACACACACACAGGACTCTTAGTTTTAAGTCTCCAGCAGCTGGATGTTTGTTGGTAATCTGCTGCCATTTTCCTCTAAAACAACACACTGATCCCTTTGATCCACACACACATGCTCGTACTTCCATACTTGAGAGGACCCTTGTTGACAATACATTACCGAGCCCCTAATCCTTAAAAGGATGATTCCAGTTTAATATGACTGCCGTCTTCTTTTTGTTTTGTTTTTGTATGTCAACATCTTGAATGATATCATATTCCACACGGTCGTCCTCTCTGAGGCTGGGCAGACAGATTTCTGTGCAGATATCTACAAACCATTTCACAGTTGCAAACATAAACATTCCAAAGGTTCCAGATTCAAAAAGCCTTCACTTCATCATTTTGGCCATTGCCATCTTGTTTTGTTAAAATCAGAAGTTGACACGTGTGGATGGAGCCAAGTACAACTGAAGTCTGATTAAAACACTTTTAGGCAACAAAAATCGTACTGAAAACACTCTAATTCTAAGACGAAAACACTTTATGGTCTGTTTGACTCTAAATGGACCATCATTTACTAAATGAACATCGTGCTGTGTTGAAGAAGACTTGAAACTAGAGATTGAGACCATAAACTCATGTTTACAATGTTTACTGAGGTAATAAATCAAGAGAGAAGTGGAGTCATTTTCTCATAGACTTCTATACAACCAGACTTCTTTTTGCAAACAAAAGAGTCGCCCCCTGTTGGCCAGTAGAAAGAATGCAAATTTAAGACACTTCCGCAATGGCTTCACTTTTCAGACCCAGAGGTTGCTGCCTGGTGCTCACACTGAACGTTAATTTGTACATTGGCAATTTAAATAGCCAAGATGGCTGCTGACAAAAACTGAGAAGGCTTTCTACCGATAAAACCTATAAAGGCATAAAATGGCCCCAAAAGTCCTACTAACATATATCAAACTATCATTATCCTGATTCTAAAATTAGTGGGGGGAACAAATGCTGCTGTTTTCTTGTGAGGACAAACTCTTAAATGAAGATTCATTCTTCCTCCCCCCCCCCCACACACACACACTTCTACCATGTTCCTGGATTAATCTAATCCAACTCATGTGAGTGTCAGACACCCGTTACATCTGGTTTTCTCTCTCTTTCATCATCAAGCTTTCTCTCTTTCTTTTCCCCTTCCCTCCATTTCTTTCTCCTTCATCCTTCCATCTTGTTTCAGTGTATACTGTCATTGTCTGTACTGTGATTTTATTATGTCGGTTATTCTGAACATATCTTTTGCACGTCCAGAGAGAAGGATCCCTCCTCTTTTAGTCCTACTGAGGTTTCTTTCCATTTCTATTTCCTCTGTTAACATTTTTATTTTTAGGAGCTTTTCCTCAAGGCTCTTAGGACAGAAGGTGTTGTGTTCTGTACCGTTGACATGTTTTTTACACATCGAACTTGGTTTCGCTCCAGCAAATTCCAAAATATGGAGCATTTTTTGTTTCAGTTCCTTCTTTAGTGTTTTCTCCAGGTTGTTGAGCTGCTCGGCTCTCTGGGAGTTTTCTTTTTACTCAGAGGAAACCACCCACTTGTTCGCCTCCAACCTTCAGCTCTCACTCTCATCCTCTTTCTCTCCATCCCTTCTTACCATTTCTCACACTGCTTGTTTATCTCCTTCTTTCTTTTTCTCCTACACCCTCTCTCCTCCCCCTCTTTATTTTTCTCTCCCCTCTTTCCTTCCATCTCTCCTGTCTCCTCCTTACCTCCAACCAGTAATATTATTTTGCCTCTCCCTCTCTTACACTTCCTCCCTTTCTCCGCCCAGAGGAACAGCTGCTTCCTGTCTCCCAGGCCCTGCAGGAAGTGAGGTCGTGGTGAAAGTGGAGTCGACAGGAAGGACGTGAGAGTGAGCGTGTTAACACGGAAAAGATGCCTGACAGAATGGAAGGAAATAGTAGAGCGAGTGTGTGTGTGTGTGTGTGTGTGTGTGTGTGTGTAGGTTTCATATCTTCAATGAAATCGAACGTTAATCAGTTTGTGTATGAAAGTCACAGTGAGGTTAATAATGATTTATTAGCTATTTGTCTGAACCAAATCTGCTCTTATTTCCTTCTATTGCTGTCAGACTCTCATTCATTCTTGATCAAAATATACTCCAAAGTCCAATCACAAAATTAGCCCTCTGCTTCCTATCACAGTGTTGTGTGCTTCTACTTTTACGTTTAAGTTATAAAAAAACAGATGTTATTCTTCGTGGGAAAAGCTGTTTGCTTCACTCCAATGAACTGAAGCAAAGGAATGTTGGTTTTGACTCCCTGTTGGGGCCAGGCAGACGGGGTTTACCCTTAAAGCTTGATTGCGCCGTAAACAACATAAACATTGTCCAAATACCCCCAAATATAAGAACAAAGAGATAAGATCAAAAACAAAAAGAAGGAAACTCTGATTCAATCCAACATGGAAACAGGAAGACAAAAAATACAAAATAAAATAAAAACTACGACATTTACTTTCTCAAAAAACCTTTGTAAGGCCAATATTTTAAACGATTTGATATTTAAATTGTTTACATCCATGTTTAGCTAGCAGTCTCATGTTGTAATGTAGTGATGGTAAAATCCCTCCACCTCTCCGGGAAATAAATCCCTAACACACCCTAACATCGAAATCATGACAACAACAAAGACTGCTGTGTCACTTTAATTTCAACTATTACTCATTTATACAAATAGGACATTTACTAAAAATACCAAATACCTCCATACATATCTCCTCTTTCCATCTTTTCTGTAATAAAACTAATTTGATGGCTGTTTTGTGAACGAATGGCTGTTTCATGATTTATTTATTCTATTTTTCTGTAACTGGTCCAGTAAACTCCACCCGCCTGGTGCAGCAAGGAGATGAAAACAAACACCAAGAATTATATCATTGTTTTGGGATCTGTGTGTGTGTGTGTGTGTGTGTGTGTGTGTGTGTGTGTGTGTGTGTGTGTGTGTGTATGGTAAGAGAGGAGCAGATCCCTGCAGATGCTGATGTCATCTAAGAGAGACGTCCACACCCTGGTGACATCACTCCCGCCGACAGAGAGGAGGTCAAAACAAAGGGAGCTCCGGCTTCAGCTTCATAACTGATTATTGGTTATAACCAGTGAAGGAAAGAGAGACAGAGGCACTGATGTGTTCACAAACTAGTTTTTAGTCATTTGGACTGAATAAAAAAACAATAGAGTAGAGAAAGTAGTATAGTAGAGAAAGCTGCACAGACTGCAGCTGTCTGTGTGACATCAACAGAACTGAAGCTCAGACGGGACAGTTGTGAAGGTAAAGAGCGCCATCTAGGGGCTGAAACAAGTAAAACCTAAACAGACAAAAAAAAAACATGCTGTCATTGTGTTGTTGTGTTGCATTATAACTTTGTACTCACATGTCGGCCACCATGTTAGCAGGACCCTGGACCTGTCCCTCCACCGTCCCATGGTAGGTGTTCCTTACCCAGCCGACCAGACCGAGCTGCAGACCCTTCTTCTCTGTGTACTGCAAGCAGGGAGGGAGGGAGGGAGGGGTTAATGTTGTTCATACTTAATAACATCAGATAAAGTCAGTGAACCTGCACCACAAAGTAGTCAGCCATCTAACAAGAAGCAACACTAACACACACTAGTCTGGTCTACATATGATTTTTTAGTTTTCTGCTTTGAGTTTTTGAGTTAACTTTGAGTTGAAATGAGTCTTCTTACATCAGCTCATGTTACAGTTTTGACATCATTCTCAGATCAATATACTCAGAGCATAAAAACGCAGAGACAGCCTGTTGAGGCATGAAAACATGTGCGTGCACAGAGTAGTGTTACTACTTTTACTGAAGTATAACATTATTCTTCCACCTTTGACAAAAAGCCTGCGAGGTTTCAGAGCTCAGACGCTATTATCAATGAATTCCACTCTGTGTAGGACGCAGTGTTATATGGTCACATGCTGCAGAAAAAATAATAATAATGAAGCTTAACGTTAGAAGATTTAATCACAGATGAGATTATGGAATACTAAAATGTCTCTGTTCAACTGTGTCGGCCCCTGCAGGGCTGTCGATCGAGCATAGATAGTGAAAAAAAATCTGTGTCGCACAACTTCCTACTCCACTCGCCTACAGAACAGACCATAAACATGTCAGTGTAGACACTGTGGAAACACAAGGAAGAACCTCAGACATGAGGTTGTTAAAGGGTCAGGGTATTGGCAGCCTCAGGTTACAGGTTGTTGAGTGGACAAAGGGTGTTAGTGAACTGAATATAGCTTTGGTGTCAAAGTGGGGGCACAAGAAACAACAGGTGGTGATGGGAGCAAACAGAGAAACTCACCATTCTGAAACAAACTCCTGTCAAAAGAAAAGAGAGAGAAAGAGAGAGAATGTCTTAAATATAGCAGATTAATAATAACAGCCTATTTATGAAATTACTTTATCTATTTATATGTAACTTTCTGTCATAAATGTTTATTTTGTTTCCACTTACCAACACAAACAGCTCACTAGTTCTGGTAAACTATTAATATAAATATTATAAAGATTATAAATATTATATATATTATAAATATTATAAATATTATGAATATTATGAATATTATGAATAATATAATAAATAATGTAATACATATTATTAAAAATAAAATAAAATAAAATAAATAAAATAAAATAAAATAAAATAAAATAAAATAAAATAAAATAAAAGAAAAGAAAAGAAAAGAAAATAATAACCCTGAGGCTGCAGGAAGTGAAAGTGCAGTAAGTTCCTGTCCCGCCTGCAGCAGCAGAGCTGTGCTCGGTCCTAAATTAAGCCTCAGCAGATCAGTTTACAGCCTCGGCTCAGAGAGCCGAGCAGAAAAGAGAAAGAGAAGAAGAGGAGGGAGGGGAGTTAAACATACTGACCCTGAACGTGACCGGAGATCTCAAAGTCCACCGACACCAGTTTGGTTCCTGCTGATTCACCTTCAGACATCCTGAGAGGAAAACAAAAACAGAAGAGGAGTAATAGATTCTGAGAGAACGGGTGGATACTCCCGCTGCTCTCTCTCTCTGCACCACTCTGCACCAACATGGTCATGTCTTCCTCCTGGTTTGTTAAAGGAAAATCACCCAGTCTGTGCAGATGGTATCTGTAGTCCATTAAAAGCACAACAACTACAAATAACGTACTGTTATTTATGTTGACAAATATGAGCCGGTTCTGACCCAGATGTGGCTGACAGATTTGGTTTGCTAGGTTTTAAAGGTTTGGACCCGGCTGGGAATCAGCACAAGTTAGGAACAGTTGAGTCTGCTTTGGGTCAAAGGCTACACACACTGCAATTCTGGTATTTTCTGAACAATATGTTTTGTTATTAGCAGACAGTTACTTATTTAGGTATCCGGTTACAGGGCAACATGATCATTGATTAGGGGTCTTTGTGTTTGTGAGCTGATGAATATAAGCCCAATATTCACTCTCTTTAAGCTCTGTTTTTGGTCTCCACCAACTCCGTTTTAGCTGCAAAATGCTCCACTATGTTCACCAGTTGGTCCCTAACTGTGTCTGTCTGCTGTTTGTTGTTGTCAGAAACATGGTCAATACTAGAATTGTCCACTAGATGTCAGTCAGACCTCACTGAATCCAGCAGCTGCTCTTTACCTCTGACACCCACGCACAAACAAACACACACACACACACACACACACACACACACACACACACACACACACACACACACACACACACACA